AAATGACTAAGACCAGATCAATAGTATTCTTAAAGCAAATGAGATAAAATTGTAAGAACATTGAGAGATACTGAAAGGGGAAGTGGACTACGGGAACTGGTTGAAGGTGGAGGGTGGTCTTGAAGGGGAGGTTTGAGGTTGGTCTTGAAGGGGAAGGTTTGAGGTTGGTCTTGAAGAGAAGGTTTGAGGTTGGTCTTGAAGGGGAAGGTTTGAGGTTGGTCTTGAAGGGGAGGTTTGAGGTTAGAGAGCCAATAACATGACTGAGGCAAACAAGTGAGGCATAAGAGATGACTGGATCACATCATTACATCTTAACAGGAGGTGAAAGTTAACCTGTGTTTTGAAGGCGCTGGACCCTAATTAGTACTTAACGAGGAATTATTGTTTTATTTTGTCCTTGTTGGAAGTGTGTCGTTCGCCCCAAAAGATGATCAACTAACAAAATCATAAAACATTACTTTGTCTCTGGGTGTGTGAGTGAAGTTGCCCGGGTATAAGTGAATAAGTGAAGTTAGACGATAAACTTCCTCACTTCTGTCTTCCTCACTTCTGTCTTCCTCACTTCTGTCTTCCTCACTTCTGTCTTCCTCACTTCTGTCTTCCTCACTTCTGTCTGTCTTCCTCACTTCTGTCTTCCTCTTGTCTTCCTCACTTCCCTCACTTCTGTCTTCCTCACTTCTGTCTTCTTCACTTCTGTCTTCTCCTCACTTCTGTCTTCCCTCACTCTGTCTTCCTCACTTCTGTCTTCCTCACTTCTGTCTTCCTCACTTCTGTCTTCCTCACTTCTGTCTTCCTCACTTCTGTCTTCCTCACTTAAACTTTTTGTTAGGATTCCATTTTCTTTGAGGATTTAATTTCAAGTTTTAATTAGTTTTTTTTTAAATAGAGTAGAAGAAAATAAGATTGTGACCATCTACTAATGGTTAGCCCCTCATTCACATACAGTACCAGAACAACAAAGTGAAGTAGTAATGGTGAAGTTATACAGTACATCACTACACTCGCCTCAACACTGAACTAACAGGTAACACACGATATCTTCTTCACGGACTTGATGGTAATATTCCTTTAAGAATTGTATGAGACGTTTAAATGTATCGACTAACTCCTTCTTGAAATTAAAAGTCAAGGTGTAACCATATAACAATACATATATATACATACCTCTTAAGTATAAGTATATGTATATATGTCTTACCTGAGATATCAACACTGACGCCGCCTGAACATATGTCTACAGTTCAGCATAAAGTAGGAACACACTATTATCCTTCTCCTCCTGTGGTGATGTAAGCTGCGGTTTATAACATTATGTAGATTTTCCACCCTTACTTTATCCACGATACATTCAAGCAAGTTGTAATAGTTCTAACTTCCAGCTCGTGTCGTCCTGTACACCATAAGTTTAGCGTTCGATGTTGCTGCTTCCTCTCTCGTCAGGCTGTTAACATTAAACTTAGCTTCGGGAACTCCTAAACATACAATTTCTGGCATAACTCAAGGGGGTAATATGTCTCCCTCAGCCGATAGTTCCCCCAATTTAATTAATAATAAAGTCCCACTGACACGTTTAACAGCTTGACACGGCGACCTACAATCAAACTTTTAACGACCCCACATAACTACGACCTACTAACATAATAACCCGTTTAACGACCCCTCACGACGTACAGTACACCAACGACTGCTGCACAACAACTTATACAACATCCAAATATAACGTATAATCCTTAATTTAACTCTAAGCGTCGGTGGGTGACTATAGGCCTAGTTAATACACCGTGAAACAAGACTATTTACAACACGTTAGTCTATTGAACATACAGTACCTGGATAGACTAGTCCTAATATATACATCCATACTGCTTTAATACACATCTTCCGCCGGGTGTATGTATTCTAATATGTATCTAAATAACTAATCAAATACATAAAGAGAATATACATATACACACTCGCAGGTATACAGTATATATGAGAGGGAGTTCTAGCGTGTGGTAACCTGACTGAACTTATAGAGAATAGAAACATCTTTATTTAAAACGTTTCAGAGTTTCTTGTTTCGATCATCAGGTGAAATAATAAAAGAAAGATTATTATTTCTATCTGGCTTGACATACATACATACATACATACATACATACATACATACATACATAAGACTGAAAACTCATATAAGACTCAAAATAAGACTGAAAACTCACATCAGACTTGAATATAAAACCACGATTTTCATTCTACACCATAATTTTTTTTCCTTTCATTTTTTTTGGGTAGTTTAATTACGAGGCGGACACAGCTTACATACCCGCCCTTACTGAATCACTTTAATTCATTCTCCTGCTGATTAATCCATTTAGCTAGTGCTTAGTCCATTTACCTACTAATTACTTCATTCACCTCATTACTCCATTCACTACTAATTAATTCATTCATCTACTAATTAATCCATTTAGCTACTAATTAATTCATTCATCTACTAATTAATCCATTCACCTACTAATTAATCCATTCACCTACTAATTAATCCATTCAGCTACTAATTACTCCATTTACCTACTAATTAATCCATTCACCTACTAATTAATCCATTCACATCAACAAATTCTAAGACAAAACTCAATATTAACTCCTATTTAATCGCTGTTTTAAATGTTTTGTTAAGTAAATTTTAATATATCAGTGAAAAATATCGAACTAGATTATATAAGTTTTAATCTTTGTTATATTTAGTTATTTATATTTGGCTATTATATTTAGTTATATAAACACTAGTTATATATACATCAGTTATATATACTTTATTTATATGTACTGTATATACTTGATTTTGTTGACTCATGTAACTGTTTTCGCTCTTTAGTAACTTGAAGTGAACGAGAAGCCCTAAAACGCCTTCAATAAAAATGTCTTGTTTAAGCATTTGTCTCGGTAAAGCTCACACGACAGTCAAGGATTAGCTAATGGTGAGTAGGTGGAGGAGGGAGGACAGACATATTACACACTATCAATACACTCTACACCTGCACCCCTACACCTACACCCCTACTCCTACACCCCTACTCCTACACCCCTACACCTACACCCCTACTCCTACACCCCTACTCCTACACCCCCTACTCCTACACCCCTACACCTACACCCCTACTCCTACACCCCTACTCCTACACCCCTACTCCTACACTCTACACACTGAACGGAAATTTAACCTAATTTGTGTATTAGCGGCCGAGGTATATGACGGTAATTAATGACTGGGTGGCCAAGTGTGTGTGTGTGTGTGTGTGTGTGTGTGTGTGTGTGTGTGTGTGTGTGTGTGTGTGTGTGTGTGTGTGTGTGCGTGTGTGAGAATTATACAGTATATAAATCATTACAATTACGTATTATTTAAAGGGAAACATTGACATAAACTGAATTTTTTTTTAATAATACTAAGACAGGTAAACATTGAAGTGGTACAGGTCCCTTGTTGGTACAGTTGAAGGTGAATCACAGGTGACTTGTAGTGTATGGAAGTGGGGGGTCATGTACATGGTTCACTCCTTAACATAGTGTTTCGTGTTCCTTAGGTGCTCCTTAACACAGTGCTCTCAGGTGCTCCTTAATATGGTATTCCTCAGGTGCTCCTTAACATTGTGTTACTCTGGCGCTCTTGTTTCTTAGCTGTTCCTTAACATTGTGTTACTCTGGCGCTCTTGTTCCTTTGGTGTTCCTTAAAAATAGTGATCCTTAGGTATTCCCTAACATAATGTTCCTCAGGTGTTCCGTAATATAGTGTTCCTCAGAGGCGTCAGTAGGATGATCAGCTCAATCACCGTGAGTGGCAGCCAATACCAAGAAGCCATTAGCTGGGATATATAAATGGTATTTCATAATAGACGGAACAAACTCCAAGCAGACTGGGAACTGGGTGTGTGAGCTCTGGGGTGAGACTTGAGAGGCGGTGATGATGTAAGATACTACACACCTGTCACTCGTACAACACACCTGTCACTCGTACATCACACCTGTCACTCGTACATCATACCTGTCACTCGTACATCACACCTGTCACTCGTACATCACACCTGTCAGTCGTACATCACACCTGCCAGTCGTACATCACACCTGTCAGTCGTAAAACACACCTGCTGGTTGTCTCCATACCTCACCTGCCAGTCGTCTCATTATACACCTGCAAGTCGTCACATTACCACACTTACCAGTCGTCACATTACCACACCTACCAGTCGTCGAAAACACACCACACCTGTCAGTCGTCACATTATTAACGGGATCTTGATGTATTACCTCAGTGAAATAATAACGACGCTACATTATCAATCATTACCTGGAGTTCGACGCGAGACAGGAATAATGTTTTAGAGAATGTAAGAAAGAGACCGAGTTTGGTACAGTCGAGTAGAATAGATTGTTTGATATTTTTTCCAGCTAGCTAAAAGGCTTGTAAGTTTAACCCCTTGAGTACGATGATTTAACCCCTTGAGTACGATGATTTAACCTCTTTGAGTACGATGATTTAACCTCTTGAGTACGATGATTTAATCCCTTGAGTACGATGATTTAACCTCTTGAGTACGATGATTTAACCTCTTGAGTACGATGATTTAACACTTTCAGCAAGATTATATAACCCCTTAAGTCATCATACTCAAAGGGTTAAATCATCATACTCAAGGGGTTAAATCATCATACTCAAGGGGTTAAATCATCATACTCAAGGGGTTAAATCATCATACTCAAGGGGTTAAATCATCATACTCAAGGGGTTAAATCATCATACTCAAGGGGTTAAAGGTGAAATAAACAGGTGAAGACGAGATACACACGAGGGTCTAGCATGAAGACAAGTTAGATTAAATAAGACAAATTAATATTTTCCACTGAATATTCACGGGAAAAGTAAACAAACGTATTATTCAACAAAACAATTCGAAGACTAAAGTAAACAATGTCTTCTTTGTTTACGTGTTTGCTTGAATGTACAGCACGACAGGGTGAGTAAAGTACATGATGGTTATATAAACAGGAGTCTAGGTCGCCACGTAACATTAAAATACGCCTTTATAAACATAGTCAATAATGTCATGTGTGTGAACCATTATAACCTGTTTGAGGATGACTGTAGGATGTATTAGTAAGGGTAAAACACATATACATAGTCATATACATATATAAATCAATATTCATAATATATACAATTGTAATAAACTAAACACATTTTTCTTATTATTACAACAGCAACAACAACAGAAGCACTACACCTTTTAAAAACACACTTTCCAATATAAAGCATAAAGAATATCTCTTATGTTTGTATTTCTAACTACATCATTCTCACCAACAGTTACTTATAGTTAATAAATAAATATGTATCTTTATTTAGTTTCACTCTATATATATAAACTGTATTTTGGTGTCACAACTAATTATGACAACTTAAGTCTCCTACACAACTACTGTTCTCTACTGTACTCTCATCTCTCGTGGTCTCCGTGGTCTCCAAAACGGATGGTGGTGTTATTGCTGCTGTCTTACACATTAGAAATTCTCCAAGTGTTATAATCTCCAACTATTTTTCATTAGAATACATAATCTTCAACAGTTACAGAGTTGAAGACCAGCAATCTTCAACACTCGTGGACTCCAACACAAAAACCACTATTAATGATTTTGAGGGAAATTTTACCTGATGCCTTTAACAGTGACAGCAATCGATCTGCTTCGTCTTAGTCATTATATAGTTGACCTAAATTAGTACAGTACCCGTATTGTCCGAGTGATACACACGGTCCCAATCTGAAAACAAAAACAAAAGAATATAAACATTAATTAAACATCAAATAACATTAATTAAACATCAAATAACATTAGTTGAAATTTATAAAACATCCCAAACATTCAGTAGAAGTTCACATTATTGATATTTTTCTGTGTAAATCAACCCACAAGAGATGTGGCGGTTAATGCCTCAGTCTCAAGGTTTAATGTCACGGTTAATGCCTCAGTCTCGAGGTTTAATGTCACGGTTAATGCTTCAGTCTCAAGGTTTAATGCCAGAGTAATGCTTCAGTCTCAAGGGTTAATGCTTCAGTCTCAAGGTTTAATGCCAGAGTAATGCTTCAGTCTCAAGGTTTAATGTCACGGTTAATGCTTCAATCTCAAGGTTTAATGCCAGAGTAATGCTTCAGTCTCAAGGTTTAATGTCCCGGTTAATGCCTCAGTCTCAAGGTTTAATGCCAGGGTAATGCTTCAGTCTCAAGGTTTAATGTCACGGTTAATGCCTCAGTCTAAAAGTTTTTCACGGTTAATGCTTCAGTCTCAAGGTTTAATGCCACGGTTAATGCCTCAGTCTCAAAGTTTGTCACGGTTAATGCCTCAGTCTCAAGGTTTAATGTCACGGTTAATGCCTCAGTCTCAAGGTTTAATGTTTCTCTTTGATACTGTCATTATTCTCAACCCAAGGCTCATTGATTTCACCGTTTGTTTCTTTTTTATTTTAGCTTCTGTTTATTTTTATTTCACCTTTAGCTTCTGTTAATTTTATTTTAGCTTATCTTTATTTTTATTTTAGTTTCTGTTTATTTTTATTTCACCTTTAGCTTCTGTTAATTTTATTTTAGCTATTGTTTACTTTTATCTCACCTTTTGTTTACTTCTTCTCACAACACGACCGTCGAGGGATTCCATATTTACCTTATATTGACATGACAACATTTGTACTCATGGCTGATAATTTTTTTCCCGTAAGATCATTCACTCGTTATTCACTTGGCCACATGGAAGAGCTACCTAGTTCATTTGGGTAAAGGTGTTATTAGCTGGTGGTGATTGTCTTAGGAATTGAGGTTTAAAGTGTTTCAGAAGAAGGATACAATCGTTTTATACCTCCCAAGACTTTGCCAATGGAGTCACAGGATACGCCTTTTATTTCCCTGAAGGTAATTACATTTTTTTCCCTTCTCTCGTTGGTCCTTAGTTCGCTTTGACTATCAGCTGGTATGCTATTCACGGAGGGAAATTAAATTCCTGTTGGTGCTTTTTTTGGTTTTTTTTTTCCAAAGCTGCAGTCGACCAAGAATGTAAGAGTGTAATAAGATAAGAACCGTATTTTACATTGTTGGTGCAAAGGTTAGAGTGGGGAAAGCATTTCATTGTCTAGAAGTAAGTTGTGGGTGACGCGGGGTGTAAAACAAGCTTTCTCAACGCCCGGTTAATTTCTTCCCGGTCTTGGTACACCGGTTTGTTATCGCTACTGGAACCGGTGTTTTGTTTCATTCATTACTTACGATTATTATGTTATGTTATTATTTTGCTCTGTTACTGTACTGTGTTGTTATGTTATATTGTTATGTTGTTATGTCATGTTATGTAAATTCTCAGATAAATTACTAATGGTAGAAGCCAGCGGACGAGGACTTAAAACAAAACACTAACTCAGCTTACAAAAACGAATACGATGCTCAAGGGGTCTTATATCTATGGTGGTCAACTGCACAAAATACACAGGAACACCACCACATCCACACCCTTTGGTAGATTCCTCATTCATTATCCACATCAGTCACAGCTAATACCTGGAGTTTAGCATAATAGAATCCCCTCTCCTTCTCTCTTTCTTTTACTCTCCCCTTTCATTTTTCCTCTCTCTTCCCTTCCTCTCCCCCTACTCAGCCTCCCCTCCCGTGTCCCTATCCGTGCGTCTCTCTATCCCTGTATCTCCATCCTGTATCCCTATCCCTGTATCCCTATCCCTGTATCAGTAACCAGTACCTACCACTTTACTGCCCTGGGTAGGTTCAGGAGGGCAGAGCCAAAGAGTAAGGGCGAAGGTTGTCTGATCGAGACGTGTGTCCTCCATGGTGGGGCGTGTGGTGGGCGTGTGGGGAGGAAGGGGCCAAAGCTGGTTCCAAGGAGAGGCGATGAGCGGCGCGGGCGTGGCACGAGTAGAACATGGGTGTGAAGTTCTGGGCGTGGGCGGAACGACGGCCTCGAAAGCCGAACTGAAGATAACTGCACAGTCTTTCTTTGGTGGTCCTGAGGGAGAGAATGTGAGAGATGGGAGAGTGAGGGAGAGTGAGGGAGGGAGAGTGAGGGAGATTGGGGGGAATTTGGAGATGAAAGCTGTGTGTGTGTGTGTGAGTGTTGTTTTGGAACTGATTGGGAAACATTAAAGCAAAGAGATGCAAAGAAACTGTACATACAAATTACATAATAAAAACACAACACACACACACACACACACACACACACACACACACACACACACACACACATACCCACCTGGTGAGTCTCCAAGCAGCGTAGAGGGCGGGGGTGGTGATGGTAGGCAGGAAGGCGACCCATACGAAGGTGATGAATGTAATATCGAAATGACCAGAGTTATCGTAGGTCTCCAGCACCATGTTCTTCACCAACCTGTAGAGAACACACGGGGGAGTGAGTCTCTTGTTCAGTCGTTTATTGGTATTAATTAGTCTAACACAACAGGTAAGAGAGTGGGTACAGGTAGCTTCATACTATAGACGCTTTCTGTAATGATGTTTTGATATATAAATTAAACATGGTGAGTGAACATATGAACATTGTATGTAAAGAAGACAATATATATATATACGTGGAAAATTAAGAAAAACTCGATTAATAATAATGATAGATAACGAAATAAGCGAAATATTATGAGAAATAAGAAATACACATTATTTTAGTAAAGTCCGAAGTCTCTGTACTAATATCACCTGTAGAAAAGACTAAAGGGATGCGATTTTACTTCACTCCTTCAAAAAAAAAAAAAATCTTCCATTGGTAATAATAATTTTTTTCAACTGTTTTATGAATATTGTTGAGCCTACGAGAGGGGGACGCTGCCACACTCAAGCTCGACTGGCGGACTAATATACAATACCATCAATGACTGTCCAGTGAGACTCTCAGGGTCTCAACTGGTAGAGGGAATTATCTCTCTGAATATAAAGGAATGTAATATTGGATTCTGAGGTTGGACGGATTTATGAGTGATAGGGGATGGGTGTAAACGGGGCTGCCTAGTATGGGCCGACAGAGTCACTGCCTCCTGCCACCCCCAACTTTTCGTCAAAACTTCTTCTTCTTCTTCTTCACCTATACTGATAATGAGCACATGTTCTTATTTCCATCTTATGTTTATATATATTACGATTTTCATTCATTTTTCTTCATTCTTCATTTCTTTCGTGTAAACTCAGGGTATAAACGTGGTGTAGTGTACTGTGTGTTCCAGACTTCATAGAACGCAGAGGAGCTTAAAATTATCTCTGATTTTAAAGGTAAATCCAGGTCATAATTCACACGAACGAGGCTCCCAAATGGTGTTGTGATCCTATCAAAGAAAACAGATCGGTTCATAACTCAGGGGAGACAATGATAGGATGATATACACACACACACACACACACACACACACACACACACACACACACACACACACGCACACACACACACACACACGCACACACACACACACACACACACACACACACACACACACACACACACACACACACACACACCTATTCCAATAATCTCTTCCCCCACCATCCCGTAAAAGGTCACTAACTCACTACTGACTAACAGCAAATTGAGGACACGTATACTGTATATATATATATATTTCTTCATAAAACATCCCTCACACCTGAGTACACCTGTAGCGTAAAAGGTCATACTAACAGATAGTCAGTACAAGGAGACTATACTTACCTTCGCTGTTACAGTTAATGGATACAGCGATACAGTATATTACCACAGCCGATTACTGAATGGTATAGTGGAGAATGTGAAGCCTTATCGTATTACCACATAGATCAGGTACTACTATGTATAAACGTATGTATTAGTTATATATAGTGGTCGTTATAATGAGGTCTGTAAACACATCTTCCTTGAATTACCTAAGTTATATTACCTCTTGTTAATTAATTTATTGTACTTGATTTCTAGGATTTTTTTTGTTGTCGTAAGTAGTCTATATTAACACTGTTTTCGTATTCTCTATTATTTTTCTTTAGTTTTGTTGTTGCGTACACCAATGGCCGACTGTATGAGGTAGTATTCTTCATCCGTCTTCATCCATGTCTTTACCCCCCTCCCCCTCCCCCGCTATAAATCCAAATATCCTTCAGAAACAAAAGACGTATTTTTTTTCTTTTTTTTGTCAGATCTTGATGAATGTAAATTTAATCGACGCGATGTACCAGTGATGTAAGTATCTTCCATAACATCAGATCATTAGTTTTATAGTGTACTTACTGTAACTCACTGTAACTCATTGTGACTACACTGTAACTCACTGTACTCACTGTAACTGTGACTACACTGTAACTCACTATAACTCACAATAACCTATTGATGGTATGTTGTGTATTGATATAAAAATTCTAAATGTGTTTCTCAGTTGCCTATTCAAGACGGCTACACCACCCTTAAGGCCCAATCGTGTACACAGCTCTTAACGTCAAACCTCTATTGAAAAGCTTCCATTCACTCGATTTTCAGTCTCACTTTGCATGTGTAAATTTGACCTTCACCACCGTCATATAAAGATGAGTTCCCCATTATCCCTAGGTCACGGGTTAACGCTTCCATGTGTCAATACCGGCTAATGGAACCAGTGAACATTATGGGTAAATCTGTGATGCGGGGAGAGGTTAATGGTCCTTTGTTTCACGAATTCATTTTACCGGGTCCCAAGGGCGTCGTAAAGGAGAGGAGGAAGGAGGGGTTAAGGAGAGAGAGGAGGAGGTGGAGGAGGAGGAGGAGGGGAAGAAGGGAACTAGACGTTGGTAAAAATGTCAGGAAGTTAAAGGGAAAGATAGGGAAGGGGAGGAAACTTTCTTCATGTGTGTGTGTGTGTGTGTGTGTGTGTGTGTGTGTGTGTGTGTGTGTGTGTGTGTCAAGGACGAGACACAAACGCGTATAGACACAAATTTTAAAATGTCATTCGATAAATAATAATATACACGAATTACAAATACAGCAACAACAACAGCAACAAACAACAATAACAAACAACAATCACAATGACAACAGCAGTAAAAGATGAGATCCTATTCCTTAATTCAGACATAGGCTACTTGAAATATAGTGATGATAGTCCATATAGATATACAAATAATATAATGGCTTCTCCTGACCATAAAGATACTCATATATTGTAAAAAATATTGTCTGTTGATGTTTTTTGTATAGATAACGACTGAAGCGCCGCCTTATATAACTTCTGGGGTTAACTGGATGACTGACTGACTGACTGACTGACTGTACTCTTACGTGATGACTTTTAAGGAACTGTCTGTTTTGTTATACGATGGATTTTATTAGTATGTCTTTTGTTTTATTTTATTTATATTATACACGTGTTTGGATTATTAATTATCAGGAATTCGAATAACAAATAGTGACATCGATGGACGGAAGATCAAATACTGACATGCTTGACTTTACGTTTTGTTGATGGGGGGGGGAGCAGCTTGTTGGTGGGTCAAATGGGGGGAGCAGTTTGTTGGTGGGTCAAATGGGGAGCAGTTTGTTGGTGGGTCAAATGGGGAGAAGCTTGTTGGTGGGTTAAATGGGGAGCAGCTTGTTGGTGGTCAAATGGGGGAGCAGTTTGTTGGTGGGGTCAAATGGGGGTAGCAGCTTGTTGGTGGGTTAAATGGGGGAGCAGCTTGTTGGTGGGTTAAATGGGGAGAAGCTTGTTGGTGGGGTTAAATGGGGGAGCAGCTTGTTGGGTTAAATGGGGAGCAGCTCGATGGTGGGTCAAATGGGGGGGGAGCAGCTTGTTGGTGGGTCAAAATGGGGGAGCAGCTTGTTGGTGGGGTCAAATGGGGAGCAGCTTGTTGGTGGTAAATGGGGAGCAGCTTGTTGGTGGGTAAATGGGGGAGCAGCTTGTTGGTGGGTCAAATGGGGGGAGCAGTTTGTTGGTGGGTCAAATGGGGGAGAAGCTTGTTGGTGGGGTTAAAATGGGGAGCAGCTTGTTGGTGGGTTAAATGGGGAGCAGCTCGATGGTGGGTCAAATGGGGGAGCAGCTTGTTGGTGGGTCAAATGGGGGGAGCAGCTTGTTGGTGGGTCAAATGGGGGGGGAGCAGCTTGTTGGTGGGTCAAATGGGGGGGGGAGCAGCTTGATGGTGGGTCAAATGGGGGGGGAGAAGCTTGTTGGTGGGTCAAATGGGCCCCAGTTCTACCGGGACCCACCTTAACCTACACTAGAACTGGGGCCCATTTAGAGTGGAGCTCCTTACCACCGGGACTTATATAAGAAATGGGGTTACAATTGTTTTCCTTCAGAATTAGTGACCTCGTCTGTAGTTACCTCTAAGGGAAGCCTCGTGTGTGGTGTTTTATTGAGTGTTTTAGTTAAGTGTTGCCAGTCAGAGAGTAGAAGGCCTACCTGACACACTGGCACTCGGGAAAAAAAATTACCAAACAAATTTACTGAGTTGTTGTACACGAGAAAGAAATTAGTGCTTATTTTTCCCTGTAAAACAAACGACAAAGCTGCTTGAGTTGTGTTCATTATCCCATTATAAGTAACACAAAATTGCAAAACTTTAAATGGGTTTTCTGGTGTTTCTTTCTGAGGACGTTGTCTCGGGTGGGTGAACTTCGTCTTGTACACGCAATTATCAGGAACAATGAAGTCAATCAAGCCAAGAGTTACCCAAGAATTCTTTGAACATAACCAGAACAGAAAAGATAAATACAATAATTGAATTAAGACTTTGCAAGAGTGTAAAATTGTGGTCGGGAAGAGGGGCAAGGAAGTGTCAGTGGCCGGGAGGGGGAGGGGGGTAGTGCCAGTGGCCGGGAGGGGGGCAGGTAGTGCCAGTGGCCGGGAAGGGGCGCAGTTAGGGCCAGTGGCCGGGGGAGGAGGGGGCCAGGTAGTGCCAGTGGCCGGGAGGAGGGGGGCTGGGTAGGGTGCCAGTGGCCGGGAGGAGGGGGCCAGGTAGTGGCAGGTGGCCGGGAGGAGGGGGGCGGGAGGAGTGGTCGGGAGGAGGGGGCCGGGTAGTGCCAGTGGCCGGGAGGAGGGGGCCAGGTAGTGCCAGTAGGATACAGTTTGGGACCAGCAGCACTCCCCCCACACAGATCCACACAATGTTCAGGCGAAGACGAGGGGAACGAGGAGGAAGGAGAGTTGTGGGAGAGGGAAACCCGAGCAAAATAGCGACCCAACCTCTGTGTGTTAAGACATGGGGGGGGGGGGTGGGTGAAGAAGCATTACATCTGAGGTAAGAATATCAGGGTCATCCCTCAACACCCTACTCATCCACCTTCTCCCATTGACCAAATCATCCACCACTTTTCACACCTCACAGGGCTCATTTTACAACCCCTTATCCATTCACCCACCAGCCTCCCTGAACTGTGGAAAAGATTGCAGCGTGAGCAACAAACAAATCAGGCACCATTGACGAACACGGTGGCTGTCATGGTGCGCTGAAGACCCATCCAACACTTAGCCCGAGTCTCTGATCTTTACACTTCCCCGCCCCGAGACCTCAATCATCTGATAGTCACTCCATCTTTCAGTACACCCAGACAGCCGCTACATTCACCAACCATCTTAGAGAAGTGTAAGGGAGACTCGATCAATAATTTTCCTCGTGATGTTATCGATTTGATGATAGCGATGGGACGAGTTTTTAGCCTCGACAGTTATCAGGGGTAGTAAACACTTTCCCTCGAGTTGCTAAAGTCCTTCAGGTTGTCATAAAAAAAATTACAGACTCACACCAGCAGCGAGTCTTCCTTACAATGACCAAACTCACTGAGGGCGAGAGTAAGAAAACTGAAGGTAAAGATGAGTTTGTACCCAAGGATGAAGACACAACCCGTAAGAGATTCCAGTAACAGCAGTGGGAACTTTTGATTATACAAGAACCAGAATCCTACAAAGTGCAAGCATCTTCCCGATCAGAATCATCTCAGGGGGAAACTGTCTCATAACCACAGCAGTTGAAAGAAGTGGTTATCTCAGATCTAGTAAAGGGGTCATTAGGATGCTCCCCAGATAGCGGTAGAGCGGATATTCCACAAAGACTCCCAGATAACATTACCAGCATTCTTCTTTTCTTCTAAGCATCCCAAAAAAAACCGAGTAAGGAATGTCATACCAGAACATCTTACATTCTTAGAACATTTGTAGGAGTCACAAGTTTTAAGGAGGCAGCCATCTAGTATTGACCGTCACATTCTCCAACAACCAGATCAATGCTTCCAAAGGACTTCACACAAGCTGAGTGAGACAAACCCAGCCATGAACCAGACTGGAGATAACTCGAGTGTAGGAACTGATTATAATTGGAGTAATATGACTAACCCATTACCCATAAGCTAACCCATTACGAGGTGATTCTTAGACATATTAAATTATTTCCTTTAACATAAATGACATTATTATCAAACTATGTAAACACTAACCTAACCACTGAGAAATAAAACTTACAATACAACATCTGGACATGAATTAAATTAATGTCAATATTCATACCATAGATTGGCTCCAGAATGTTGATAGTCGCATAAACAAAATCTTCTTGTTGACATATAAACATTCTAAGGCCCCAATGTCAGTGATGATGATGTTTGAATGTTTGAATACATTTTAAGAACCAAGGTCGTTAAGGGACTACTCTAGGTTAATAAATACTGTACACCAGTTATTGGCAATTAAATATTAAAGGTTATATATCTGGTTAGTCTGGAGGTGAACACGGGATGGAGTATACTATAGTGATAGACAATAGTGTTTAGTGATAGACAATAGTGTTTAGTGATATAAATTAGTGTTTAGTTGATAGGCAATAGTGTTTAGTGATATAAATTAGTGTTTAGTGATATAAATTAGTGTTTAGTTGATAGGCAATAGTGTTTAGTGATATAAATTAGTGTTTAGTGATATTAATTAGTGTTTAGTGATAGACAATAGTGATTAGTGATATAAATTAGTGTTTAGTGATATTAATTAGTGTTTAGTGATAGACAATAGTGTTTAGTGATAGACAATAGTGTTTAGTGATATAAATTAGTGTTTAGTGATATTAATTAGTGTTTAGTGATAGACAATAGTGTTTAGTGATATAAATTAGTGTTTAGTGATAGACAATAGTGTTTAGTGATATAAATTAGTGTTTAGTGATAGACAATAGTGTTTAGTGATAGACAATAGTGTTTAGTGATAGACAATAGTGTTTAGTGATAGCAATAGTGTTTAGTGATAGACAATAGTGTTTAGTGATAGACAATAGTGTTTAGTGATATAAATTAGTGTTTAGTGATAGACAATAGTGTTTAGTGATATTAATTAGTGTTTAGTGATAGACAATAGTGTTTAGTGATATAAATTAGTGTTTAGTGACAGACAATAGTGTTTAGTGGGGTGAGGTAGGGTAAGATGGGGTGGGTGGGGGGGGGGAGGGGCCACTACTAATTCAACATTTACTCAAAATAGGAACTGAAATTGATATGTGCTTTTTTATAAAACTTTAAACCAACAGATAAAACATAAATAACTGTGTTTGTCATTTTGTTTTTTTGTTTTTTATAACTAACGGTGTGAAATGCGTGAATTATTTTGACGGGGATTATAACAAAACAGTTTTAATTGAAGCGTTTTATGTTGTGTGTGTGTGTGTGTGTGTGTGTGTGTGTGTGTGTGTGTGTGTGTTCATGGCCTCAGAGTGTTAAAAGTGAATTATATAAATGCCCACCAATCACCTTGTGTGACCCTACAATTACCTAACATTACCCTTATATATCGACCGTTCACGTTAATACACCGGATTAATTTAAGTAACTTCGCCTTGTTTACCAACTTGTACACCTTTGTTTTACGTTACGATGTTGTTCTTCACACTTACAATATTTCCCAAGGGTTTGAGTCATAATTCACAATGGTTATTAAGACGAATATTCCTCGTAAGTGAAGCTGTGGTAATGATGTTAATTTAGTTGATTTTTGCTATGACAGTATTAGGGTATAAAGAGAGAGAGAGAGAGAGAGAGAGAGAGAGAGAGAGAGAGAGAGAGAGACTGTAGATTCTCTCTCTCTCTGTCTCATTCATTCTCTCTTTGTTTACATAAATTCTTCCTTCCACCCTGCTAAATTTCCTCCATAAATTTCCCCCTTCCTACCTCCTTCCCATCCTCCACCCCTGCCCCTCTCTCTCCTACCCGCCCTTTCTTCTCCTAAATCACAAGTTAACGGTACATAATTTAGAGAAATATTTAAACCTTTAGTCCAGGTTTTACTCCATACATTCACAAAGCACTAGACAACCTCTAGGAAACATAATTACTGTACAGATTCTAGTTAAAGTAGAGCCTCAACGTAACAGCATCTCCTAACTGCTGTCAAATTATTAATGTTATATTTGTAGTTTAACGTAAATTAACCCGTTAAGTAGTACTGTACATCTTTTAGGAGGGAAATTATTCACGGTAGGGAATTTGGTGAATCCTAACGCAGACTTATAACCTGTAGTGGTATTCAACCCAGAGCATTAGAGATACTCCTCCAGGTAAAGTATATTCAGTCGTCTTTATAATTTATCTTTTCATTATCCTTTGCTATTAAATCAAGTTTCTTCTGGTTTTTCGTTCATTTACTCTTCTCTAAATATTTCGTTCAGGTGTTTATTTTACTCAAAAATTATCATCTCTCCCTCTTCTGTGTTTTATTTTTGTATATTAGGTTAATTAGATCTATATTAGGTGTATAGTTACGCTTCATGTAAATAAAAACAGGTCTTTTGTTCGTTCTCATACAGGGAATGTAATTGTAGAAAGCAGCTCAGTGTCTGGCAGGCAAACAAAGGAGCATCATTCTCTCAATCCTAATTCATTCCCTTGGATAATTGGTCATCATGCATCTTACCTCTAATTCACCCGGAACATTTTTAAATCGTATCCTCACCAAAAAAAAACAAAAAAATAAAACAAACACACACACAACAAAAACACCAAGACCTTTATTTGTCGGGCTCTAAATCTGGACCAAATTCCTGAAGGGGAGTTGGAAGAATTAATTCATTAGTGCCTGGTGGAGGATCCTGAAGCCTTGGGAGAATTCTGTTTTCTTTTAAGAGGTATTTGGAGGCGGGTTGTGTTTACCGTTGGTCATTAGTGCTGGTGGTTGGTTATTTCTTACCTCTTGATGTTAGTGATTAATTACGTGAATTCATTTGTTTTGTTTAGTTCTTGGTATCATTGGGTTAGGTAAGGTTAGCTAAATATCTTACGAACATATGAATTTGCAGTGAGTTTCTCCTCTGGCATATGTGTGTGTGTGTGTGTATGTGTGTGTGTGTGTGTGAGGGATGTACAGTAGGGCAGTTTTGTCCTGACAACAGCAGAACCTCATAAACCGTGAGAGAGAGAGAGAGAGAAAGGGAGAGAGAGAGAGAGAACAGAGAGAGAGAGAGGTTATTATCTTGTAAACATAAAAAAAAAATATTAATCTTTCTAA